ATTCATTAAATTCTTCGCAGCACGAGAAAAAAGGAAATCTTGTTGACGACGGCGTTTTCCTAAACTGGATCCGAACTGTGCAAAAGTCGTAATGATTGCATGCGAAATGAGCGCTTTTCACAAGGACTAGTAAACGATCACCTTTACAATTTCATGGAAGCAGGAAAGCTTTAGTTCAACCTACGAATTCAATTTGTATGCAAATGATAAAGCGACGCAAAGTTGACAAGTAGCGTGATAGCGTGCTTTATTATTCTACAATTTTTCAATTATTTTCTAGTTTTCTAAGTTAGGATGTGGAGCGCTTTGTCTTATCTACCACTCCACTAAATTTATGCAAATTTATTGTGGAAAATTTCGCGCGATAGTGTTGGCACATTTTTAATTTGTATGGAAAATTCGTTGCGGCGGAGAGCTTTTGAGTCTGTTTAAACTAATTAAAAAGCTTTTAAACAAATACGGGACATGTTTTCTACTTATTTGCGAGTGAACATGACAACCACAACCTGAATAATACTGAAAAGTTCAATTGAAACTGATTGTTGCTCTGAAATCTCAAACTTTCCCATCGAGCTTTGAGCTTTAACACTACAGGAATACTTCACTTCGGGGTAATGGATCACTAATATTTATAATTTCTTCAGGAGAAACTTTCTTACAAAAAATTCAGTTTGTTCTTACGAACTAAGTTCCTAAGGGTACGTAAAAAATTACTTTCTCTCTACTTCTGTTTCGGTTGTTATAAAGAATCACAGCAGAACACTTTTATCGATTATTTGAAATTTACTAGCTACAAAATCCGTTGTTGTATCTCGTGCTTGTGGTGATTCGTCGACAATGTAATAACTAATTGAACTTGCCTCGCCTTCGAAGTATAACCATTGTGTTATTTAGACTAACAATGCTCGAACAACCTCCCTGGTAAAGATCCTCGTCAATCTGTGACAGGCGACACTTTGAAATTAGGTAAAACGCAGGATTGCTTTCACTGAAATAATTATTCGTTGGGGATTCACTGGGCCAAATGATGTCATAAAATAAATTCGTGATGGTGGAAGTCAACTACATGGTTACATACAAACACAAACCGCAAGTTAATATTCTGTCGTAGTACACGACCCCTACAGATATCTCGGTTAAATTCATAGCAGTTGAGCAAATACGGACCTGTTCTGCGTTTGGTCATCACCAAGTTTCGCCCAGGGGCTGTAATTTATGTTTTTATGAATAAGAAGTTTCGTTTTCTTTAAGGTTGTAAAATTTTATTAGTATACAACAACAATAGTTGCAATATAATTCAGCGCTGTAGTTTCCCAGGCTTCATATAAAACTTACTAAAGAACACAGACGTGTTTTTTACTCCCAGTTATCTTTTTTTAACTTATTTCATACAAAACAAATTTCTCCCCTGTAGGTTGAAAATATCCTCCACGCAACTGCATGATCTTCGTCAACCCCTTACCACCCCAGTCAATACAGCTTAGGTTACGTAAGTAATCCATACACTGTTATACATAATTACACCCTTTGGGGTTGTTTTGCTCACAAGTACAAAATAACAAAAATCGATTACACCATATTCCCCCAAAACTTCATTGTGTATTTTATGAACTCTCTTTCGGGATTATGTCTGAAAGCGCATTGTTGGATTGTCGCGCGTCATTTACAACATTAATGAGGGAAACTCAACTAAATAATTTAATATATTCATCAGCATGGGTTAATCAAGCAGAAAGTAATTTACAACTTTGATAAAAATGTCAAGATAATAGGATCAAATCTTTTGTTGGAAATTCAATTAAAATTATGAATGAATTTTCCTAAATAATTAAGTTTAATTAAGCTACAACAAACAAAGGCCGGTCATGTTAAAAAATAACAACATAAAGCTTTTTTTCAGAGGAAATTTCTAGACTCAATACGCAAGATGCGTATCGCATTACTAAACCTGACCAAGATACATCAAGTATCGGTTTAATCTAGGTGTGGTTAGTTGGAGTAGGTCGGCAGTTCACGGTCTGCCATTCAATAGTCCCGCGAAAGAGCATTGCTCCTTCTAGCACGTCTGAAACCTTCTGAAAATCAACACAATTACAATGGTTTCAGAACACCTGAAAAAATTCTGGAAGTTGGTTTGTGTTGAAATATTTCAAGAAGTTCAGAACGCAAGGGTTTGTAGAAATTTCCGCATCGAAACTCTTTTCCTGCGAAAAGAACACACTCTGTTTTTCAGGCTTGAACGAGCGCCTGCTACACAAAACCAATCAGCAAAATGTATTGGCGAGTTTTTTGCAAATAATCGAACAAAAAGCTCAAAGGATTGAGCCTCATTATTCATGAATTGCGTTAATGGGCAAAGCATGTTCTTGAATTAAATTGAATTGTTAAGAGAATTTTTCGAATCCTGTAGTGCCCCTTCCCTTATTAAATTATTCTATTGTAGAGGAATAATCTAATGAGAGCGATCGGATCGCTTTCTCGTTAGGATAAGACAGTATTCAAGGTGATTCGTTGAACTTAGACGAAGGCTTTAGAAACTTGCCTCCAAAATCCATACATTTCCCGACATGTAAAGGCTTAGAAGCGGTGAATTCATTAACGCAAAGGTAACAATGAGTGCTCGATTACAATGTATCCAATCAAATTCGGTCTAGTATTAACGATTACGGTAACAATAAAGGACTAAGTAATTAATTTGAATTATGTTACATTGTGTAATTGTAGCAAAAGTTTAATGACGGCATAAATTTAATGGTATCTTGAGCTAACAAAGATCTCAGAGCGTGATATGTGTTTTGGAGAATTTTCGACATTATTATAACCGTAAATAATTTAAGGAACGTTTATATGAGCTTTACGGATCACACCTACCTAAGAGACTCCACCCATGTATTAAATGGACCAGAAACTATACATTACGGTAGGTACAGTTATTGTATGTCGTAATATATATCACCGGCACTGTTAACAACTGCTTCTGTGTTATAGGGTGGTTTATGGGTTGTCCATACAATTTCGAAATACACCGTATACTATAGCACTTCGTTATTTATTGCCGTTTGATAAAATTTGACTAAACACTTGTTCAATTCGTCAAATCGATATTGAATATGTTCTTGGAAGAGAAACACTTGTAAAGGGTGTTCCATCTAAACCGATCGATCCAATTACTTAACGCAGAGGAAACAAATACGACGAAGAATCCACAAATCACATTTTTTGCGACAGAAACCTAACGAAAAATTGTTAGTTCCGATTTTGGCAAAAATTGTGGTTTAGTGTGCAGTAGCTTTAAATAGTTTGAATGAGTTTCCAATATAGAACACTCGGTACGCTTAAACAAAAAAAAAAACACGAAGAGGTAAATTACAAAGCACTGCAATCGATTAAACTATGTTTAATTTAATGGAACCCTACGATAAACAGCTCGAAAATAACGTTCGTTAGATCGCACTTAATTACGACAATATACTTAGCAAACAAACAAATGAAATTAAATCCGAACAATCTAGAAATCCATTTCTTTTAAACCCCTCTGTATTTTTCAAAGTCAAGGATTTAATTATTATTGGAACAAGTCCGTTTAAAACGGAATTTCTTTGTGAAAACTTCGTAGTTATATTTGTTTTATAAATCACAACTGGGGCAGGAAATAATGGAAATTGAGTAAAGTTTTGCTGTGGAATGGTTGACTTCAACCCTGACCTCAAATACTTAATTACTTTTTATAGTTAAGTTAGGTAATATGTTATGATTCTTTTTACTTCTCGAGCGTATGCTAAGGAAGTATTGTAGTAAGGTCCATCCGTCATGCTTTCTCGACGTTTCAGGACCATTAGAGTTGAAAAAATACTTAGATCTTTCATTTCCGTCTGCCTGTCATCTGCCTGGCGCGCTTCGGTCTGCTGTCTGTGAAGATAATCTCCGAAACTACTGGAGTGATTGTTGCCAAATTTTATAGATGTTTTAGGAATATCGCATTGATGGTAAAATTGCAATAAAAATTTGTCAAAATTTTATACAAATACAAGAGGAACGCTGTTCATTAACTCAGGCGGTTAAACTATAGTGCGAATAACGTGTGGTCGAGCCTCCCATGGACCTTTTTTTTGCACTGTGACCAATTTTTTCATTTTACAAAAGTACAATTTTATTATTAAAACAAGCTACTCAACAAAAGATGGTTTTCTTGATTTAAAGTTCTGCCTTTATACAAAAACATAAAACTCTGCCATTTAAGTATTTTCAAACCTAACCTGACCTAACCTGGCTTAATTTGACAAAGGTCTAGAGGTCTAGCAGGTCCATGGCTTGGTTGGTGATCCTTCTCCACTCACTCGAATCTCTAAACTTTTTATGTCCTTCTCCACTTGAGTCTTCCTAGATCTACATCAGTGGCGAAGATTTTGTTTGATTTTGGCACGCACCAGGAAGTGGTCAGAGCTTATATCCTGTGTTCTGTATGTTTTCACACTCTCTATGTTTAATTCGTCTCTTTTCTCTGTGATCTGTTTGATTGTGTGCATTTTCCATTGAGAAGTCTCCAAGTTCCTTTATGTACTTATGTTTCCTTTTTCAAAACCTGTGCTCTTAATTCATAGATCCTGTTCCGCTGCAAAATTTATCAAAAACTTCTCGTTTTCGTTTGTGACCTCGGATAGGCTGTGTTATCTGTTAGCGTGTTCTATCACCAATTTCCAGTAGCACTTCGGAATTTTTCATACTCTCGTACTCTCGTCCCAATACCTCTTAAAATTTTTCCTTCTTTATACTGTCCACCTTTTCGGTAAATGCATGTAAATTTATTGTGCTGATTTTTGGTACTTTCCCTTAACGCTTATATTTAACATATTCTTTCCGATATAGCTTTAAATTCTAATATGGTAGCTTAAAAGTTCTTATGTATGAGAAACCCGGTTTTCTCTTCCACTCTCCTCCATTTCTGATACTCCCGTACTTTGTGTCGTTATTTCCTTTTGAAGGTAAGCAGAGAAAAATGTTGTGCCTCGGTGGGATTCGAACCCCACGCCTCTCGCTCTCCGGGCAAGTATCCTAACCACTGGACCACGAGGCCACTTATCTTTCTCTGCCTACCGACGTGTTATTGTGCTGCCACACTTTAATAGCTGCTAGTCGTAGATGTTTCTCATGTTCCATGTCCCTGTCAACATATCCTTTGTTAATCTGTTAGCTTTTCTCTTCCTCCTTTTACTCCCATTTCCGTTGATTTTAACTGTTTATCCTTTCTCATTGTCTTTTTGCGAGGTCGTTTGTGTTTTCCCTGGGTTTATTAGTTTCTTCCTTTATTTTTTGTTGGGATTTCTCTGATTTGTTTGACGCCTGGTGTTCCTTTCGAAGATCTTTGGGTTATGGACACCGTTTTAGTTTCACCCTCCTTAGATCTGTTATACCATCCCATTTTCGACTCAGGATCACTGAGTCTATTTTGTCTTTCCTCACTAGATATCACCCTGGATATCTAAGAGAGCACTAGAATATAGAAGATGTTCCAAAACAGGGATCTAACGTGAATCCTTGCGGAATGCCTATTGTCACGTTTCAAGTCTCCTTGTCAAAAGTAATATCGCTAATTGTAAAGTATTCTTTTAACATTTTGTACCATTTAACTTGACCTGACCTGATTTAACTTAACCTGGCCTGACCTAACTTATCCTAACTTGACCTGATTTACCTGATTGACTTGATGTGACTTACCGGAGTGGCCTAACTTGACCTGACTTGACCTGACCAAATCTGATCTGATCTAACTAGACTTGATCTGAGCTGATCTGATCAGATTTGACCTGAACTGAACTGACCTGACCTAATCCTGGGGGGGGGGGGGGGGAATCTTCCATCCATAATAACTGACAGCGCTCCGCTCGATACGGTCCGATATGCCGAGGTCACCCGAAGTGGCACCTTCCTTTGACACCTTTCCATTAACATCCTGTACTTTTTGATCTTTACAATATCAGCCCACGCCATTCAAACGAAATGCACCACCCCCACGAAGATCCTCCTCTCGTCACCACTGGGAATGTCCTGATTTGGTATAATTTTCGCAAGTACTCTGGTCGTCCTATCTACCTTTTCTATTGTTTTTTTTTGACATGTTGTACCATCTTGAGGTCTTTCTCAATCCACATTCCTAGATATTAAATTTGATATCTTCTCTACTCTGCACTGCACAGCCCCCTACCCTAACTTTCTGCGTTTGGCTATTACGACAGTTCATCCATCCGATCACCTTTTCTACCGACTCGTTTGCTGCTTCTACCAATCTCCTTACCTCTTTTGTCGTAATCATTAGTGCCTGGTCGTCGACGTACGCTATCATCTCCGCTCATGTGGCATCCTTAACCTTGTGGCGGCACAATAACACGTTGGTAAGTGGAGAAAGATAAGCGGTTTCGTGGTCTAGTGGTGAAAGCACCTGCCCGGCAAGTGGGGGACGTCAGTTTTCCATCATACAATAAGTTCCAGAGTAGGAAGGCCAGCACGGAGCCCTCAAAAACACCCCTACCCAGTACCATTTCGCTTCGCTCTTCTCCAACGACCAACACCCTGTTCTGGAAGTAATTTTCGACCATCCTAATCAGGTATCACGATATATTTTCGTTCCTGCTGAGCTATGTTTGCGTTCCACCAGTATTTGTTTCGTTGTCTTACACGCTTTGTGCCGGTTTTTTTAAAGGTGCTATCACAGGCGTATTTTATTAGACTTTCTAGATCTTCCGATGTCCTTACTTCCTCTTTCCCTCCGTTCCAGAATGTAACCTCTGTGTTCGCCGGCAAGGTCCGTAACCTTTTCTCGTCTCTTCAGTCTGTTTTTCCTTTTTCTTTGTGCGTTCCACCTCCAAGATTTTATGCCTATGACCACGTAGACTCTTGTTATCAAGTACTCGCCATTTTTTTATCCCCCTCCCTTGTTTTCAGTGTACATCGTAACATCTATACGAGAAGTCTGGCCTGACCTATTCTGTCCTGTCTCACTCTGACTTCACTTGACGTTGAAATACAAAAAAAAAATCTTGAATAACAGTAACTCCATTAAAATAAAAAGTTTCAGTATTCAGGAACCTGAAAACAAAAGTGTGTTTAAGAAAAAAAATTGTTGCTAAAGATGTAGAGTTTTTTGTATAAGAATGTAAAGTTTCGAGCAGATATCTCGAATTTTGTATGTCGTGGAAATAAGCTCGTGTTTTTTATTAAGAGACGTTTATGAATAATAAATATAATTCTAAGCAGGTAAAAAATAAATTTTCTGCGATTGTCGTAATATATCTGATAATTCTCGAGTAAAAAAATTAATGCGTAGCAACAATTCGATGCTACTATACAAAAAGTAAGTTATAACAGAACTGGGTAATATAAAAAAAACTTTAAGAAAAAAGTTATTCTTTGTCTCAATATCAGATAATATTTTATCTCGACCCGGAAATTTCGCAGCGAATCAGGCGAAGTTTGGAAGAAAAAATGCTGAAAACTGCCACTTCCAAAGTAGTATTGCCCGCTTGAAAGTAAAATAGCCAGTACTTCGTGCGCTTTTGTATAAATTTTATGGAGGAATAAAATAAATTAACATTTTCACTTACTTTACGCTTCAATATCATCAAAATAAGTATCCAGCTTTCTCTTGCATTTCCAAGATTACAAATAAGCAAATAAGCACAACGTAATAAATGTCTGTAGTTTCTCGGCAACAACCCAACTAAATTAAATCAAATGAATACATTCCGTTTCATTGATCCCGTGTTTAGAAATGTATTTCAGGTGCTCTTTCCTGGAGGACGCTCGCACCAACATCCAGAATGAAGTACACTCGAAATACCCCAGTCTGGAAGTCCTAGGCATAATAAAGTCGCACGAGGTGAATATCTAATCTAAATCTCTGCAATAATAGATGAACTTTGCGCAATCTACCGTACACCACCACCACTATATAACTAAAAGAGAAAAGCTCGACGCGTCGTTATTTTCCTTGTAGAGGGGTAACGTAACAATTTAAATTCCTGCAAAAGCGTCAACACACTCGCTCTAATTTCCATGTAATGTGCGCCCGTCGTTACCAACTCTAATTCCAGGCCCGGGGCGTTATTGTTATAAGTTGACTGTCTTAATTGCTCTGTTGGTAAAACTGGCCTGCAACCTCGTGATATCGGCAAAACGAAGCCAAATGCGGTGGTGGAATGCCACTGTCAGCAGGGAAAAACTGCCTACATCTGGGAGATAATTAATTCCTCCCACAAAATTACACACCCTCACAACAGAAATCCACCAACTAGTCACAAACTCTTTAAAACTCACTGAAAATACAGCGGCTTGTGGTGTAGTTGTAATTGCAATTGTATTTCTTGTCCTGTATACGGCGTTTCAGCGCAGATTATATTAAAAATGTTTCTTTAGAAGTGTAACTCAATACAATATTTCTGTGGCCACAAATACCCAACTATAAATATATCATAAAATCAATTATTAAAACATGCAGAGACATTCTAGTTTACCATATCATGGATAAAAGAGAAAATCCTATTTTAAACGGAGATAAAGAGTATTTTAGAATTTAATACACAATTAAAAGTATTAATTTTAAAAGACTTTATTAAACTGATTTATAAAAAGTGTGTTTTAAGAAGAAAACAAAAGTGTCAGGTTCAATCAGGTTAGGTTAGGTCAGGTCAGGTCAAGATCATAAAAGCGGAAACTGTTGACTTAATATAGGAGAATTAGAATGCAAGGGCAGGTCACTGAAAACACGTGTTAAAATTAAGGATACGTCTAATTTATTTAGTTTGTAATTTCACCAAATGGCAATTGTATGTATAAACAAAAATGAATCGTATTCGACGCCGCAGTCCCCTTCGACGGGTATAATTAGTACAAAACCAGTTTATTAATAATTTTCTAATCTGAAATATGTACAACTTTGATTATTAATCAACACGTGTTATTTATGTGTTACCATTTGTAAATTCATAGTATATGTTAAGATTTTAAACTAAGTACTTAGGTTCGAGTATAATTTAACTACAACTAAGCAGACGTTCTTATAAAATACGTGTCAGGAAATTCACTAATTCACTAATCGAGTCCAATAAACAACTTGCTACTTTCATGTTTTTTCGAAGTTCCATGACCCCTAGAATAGGAAAATAGGTGGTTTCCAGTTTCCGCCTATCTTTCGTCTTTCTGTCTGTCGTGTCGATTTTTATGTCATAATTTTCGACACTACCGGACCGATTTGGCTAATCATCCCCATTACGAATGACGTCATCTCCAAAATTTACAATAGTAAATTTGTTTTTATTTTTATAAAATACAATATACAATACATCCTAGACATCCAGATTAACAAAAAATCAAAATTATGTAACATTTAACTTTGAAACTGCAAAACCGAAAGCTCTGAATTCTTGCAAACGTTTTAAAAATTATGGTAAATTATTGATCAAAATTTGTTCGTATTATCCCCTCCCAAAAAATTGATGACGTCATCTCAAAATTTTTGCAAATTAATCCTGTCTGAAATGTGCAAAATATTGTGATTCTATACTTGTGGTTTATCAACATACTCATAGTTTTTAGGATTACTTATACACTATATGTATATTTTAAAATTATCATAAGGATGGTAAATTTTTGATCAAAATGTCTTTCCTCATCCCCCTAAAAATTGATGACGTCACCTCAAAATTATGCTTCTTAAATCTTATCTTAAATGTGCAGAGTATGATGAGTCAATACTTGTGATTTATCACTGGATTAACATTTTTTAGATTTGCTTATACGGGATGCCTCAAAAAAATTAATGACTGAGTCAATTTATTTTATGGATTTTATTTTATGGATTAAATCAAGAATTGAATACTTTTAAATCTTGTAGACGTTTTGAACTTATTGTAAGGATGGTAACTTTTTAATCAAAATATATCTGTTTATCAATTCCAAAAAATTGATGTCATCTCAAAATTTTACCGAATCTAAAATTGCAAAATATGTTTAGTCTATATTTGTAATTTATCACTGCATTTAATTTTTTTTGATTTGCTTATACAGGGTGACTCAAAAAAA